ACTTCCCGCTAATTTCAAATGGAAAGCCCTCCAAATAACACCAAATTATGTTGCGAAATCTCGGAGTTATATTAAAAAAAAAAAACGTTTTATTTATTCTTTCTCCTTCCATATCTCACGAACGAATGAACCGATTTTTGTTGAGTTTAAGAGCTAATTAGTTTTTGAAATCGATAGGTAAAGCCGTTTAAAAATTATTCCAAAAAAAAAACAGTTAATCAAAATTTTTGTGTTTGAGTTTTTTCAAAATCTACTCGTCCGAAGCAGTTCAAATTATAACCAAATCTTTTCCACATTGAGATCTTGAATCCGTAAACCGCACTCAATCACACGGCGTTCACACGTGAAGTTTACACACACACACACACACACGCGCACGCACGCGCACGCGCACACACACGCACGCACGCATGCACGCACGCACGCACACGCACACGCACACGGGACGATTGGATATTCTTACACCGTTGCTTCACGGTTGTATGTCGTTATGTATTTAAACTATGTTATGAATAGGTTAACAAAAGTTAAGAAATTTCTTTTGTTAAACGAAAGGTTAATACGATGTAATTACATCGTATTAACCTTTCGTTCCAAGTTACATAATGAGGCAACATATACAAAATATACATATATATATAATTCTGAGCCTTTTTAATATGAAGGGAATACTTTATAAAACGGCAATACCTTTTATAGATTTACTGGTAACGAGGTGACAACGCATCTACAATTTGATTCTTACTTGAGGTTAACTGTAGATGTCTATGGCCCACAGCATTCGATTAATATCTGATGGCCCGTGTGCTCGTTTGTCAACCTAGTTCTCTACAAAATAAAAAATAATTAGTATACAAGATATTATACCCTGATGATGCCGTTACGGGTCTATCGGTTGGTTTTAACATACATCATCATCATCACTGCAGCCCATCCTAAGACCACTACTGAACAAGGGCCTCCCTCAAGGAATACAAACAAAGTAGAGTCATTGATGGAATCAATCGTTACATTGCGGAAATCCATTATAATAAAGAAATTAATTAATTTGCAACCTTCCGCCAACTAAATACAATGATGTGTCTTACCTGGACCACCTCCCGCCGCCTCCCGCCCACACTCAATTGCATGCACCAAATTCCGTCACCACTAATCTCAGTACCACTACTCCCAACACCACTACTCCAGGAAAGACACACTATCGACGATAATACGACACGTGTTTCGTCTCTACATGAGGCATCTCTCAGCTGATGTAGACTATATCTTAGCGGTGACGGGATTGGTGCATGCAATTGAGGGAGGGCGGGAGGTGCTCTTCAATCCAGGTAAGACCTATCATTGTATTTAGTTGGCGGAAGGTTGCAAATTAATTAATTTCTTTACTTTAAAGCAGAGTCAGTTCAGTCTACGTAGTATTGATTGCAAAGCACTCGCTCTTTTTTAACAAGTCGGTTGTTGGTTTTTCGGGCTATATGGCCAGCCTATTGCCACTTCAGCTTAGTGATACTTTGGATTTTTTAATCCGTTATTGAAATATGAAATATATTCTGGATTACACATCCTGTAATCAACTAATCCTCTCAGCGATTAGTGAAGTGAAGTTTAAAGATTGATAAGGAAGGCGAGAATTAACAGAAGTATTTTAATATTTTCGTCTTATTTATTACTTATAATCGAGCATACACCGCCCTTGACGTTTCACAAAAAAAATATATATTAGAATTTTCTTTTGAAAGTGATTTATACATTGTATATTAAAATTGTATACACGTTGTAGAGCCACACTGCAGCTATATTATGGTTGTAGCATGAATGGGTCGGCTCGACCCGGGAAAAACGACGCCCTCACATAATACCAGCGTAAAATAGCAGCTTAGTGCTGTGTTTCGTATGGTGAGTGTAGAGAACCGAATAGCCCTTTTTCTAGAATCGAGGCGTTCCCTTAATCCGAGGATAGATGTAGATGGCTGCGGGTGACAGTATTCACTTACCGTCAGGTGGGATGCGTCATTTGTCAAAAATATCCTTTTTACTGGAATAGCGTCATTTAATTTTAATCCACAGGGGTGACAACACATCTCCATTTTGATTCTTAATCGAATATAAGTATCCACTTCTATCAGATGGGCGGTGTGTCCATTTGATACCCTTATTCCGTAAAAGAAATAATGTTAACTGATGTCAAAATGGATATAACGTCTTGTACTCGTGACATGACTCACCTACAACTTGGTGAAAGGTCACAAATGCGATTAAGTTAGCATAGAGCAAGCTTGATAAAGTTATCAAAATTCAAGATTGCACCAGAAGGGGATATATGCCACAATGGCTATGCTTGGCAAGCGAGTTGGCAACTGCAGTTTTTTTACTATTTTGAGTTGCTGTCAGGAAAGAGTTGCCATCTTTCTTCACCCACGGGATGATGTAAGGCGTTGAAAATTCTTAAACCACTATACATCTTATTCCTTGTCCAAATATTACTGTATCGGCGTTACATACGGTATGGTAAGGACTTAGGCTATTCTGTTTGTACTAATTTGTGCTAAATCCTCATCATAATTACCAGCTCACTGCAGAAATATGTCTCCCCGATGGAACGCCTCTGAAACCATTGTTTCCTCCATGACTTAGCAGGTCGCTACTCCATCGCGTGGATGGCTTTACAGTCGAGTACGTATAACACGTACGTATGAGATCGTTACTCAAATCCTTCTTCCCCTTCGGTTATCAGTATATGACCGACCAGATTAATTCTACTGATTCATTAAACTTTGATTATTCGATAGCCTCGTTGAACTAGAGGCCGCAACTGCGACTGATGATCATGTGGTCCTGGGTTCGAATTTCAAGTCGGGCCAAAATCATTTATTGGGGTTTTCTGTTAAGATATTCTCAATAGTAGCCCAAAGTCAGGAAGTTGGCGATGTTTTACCCTCGTGCAACGAATAGCTGATAGTCCTCCGCTATATCGGTTTGTCATACCATCGAATTATGTGAGTGAAGGAATAGAGAGTGCACCTGTGCAGTTTGCGTGGCCACTCGTGCACTATAAATCTCTCACGCGCAGACGGATTTGAGGACGTCGACGATAAAATTTTTGTTTTATGCGTCTTAGACTAGAGATGGGCCGAATATGGATTTTACCGAATACGAATATTCGGCCGAACGTTCGGTATATATTTTACCGAACCGAATATTCGGCCGAACATTATTCGGCAGAATCATCTCATCATGTCGAAACTTGTTACCACAAAGCGCGCGGGATTAGCGCCAGACCCTTGCTTCCCGACCACACCTGACATATTATTGCATCAACTAGTACTGAGTAAATTGCCGGCACATGCTTATTTTTAACAATATTTGTGAGAAAAAAGTATTCCGTTGTGTTATTCTTAATGAAAATTGATAATTATGTGATAATGATGAGTGGCAGGAGATCTACTATTTCGACTTATTTTAGAGAGACTGAAGACCAAAGTAAAGTGAAATTTACTAATGTAATGTTTTTTTGATCGATTCTTAAAACGTTTTACCAAGCTTTATATTTGCTATAATTCGAAATAAATCCACAGTGCCTAAAAACATAACGCTATATAAGCAGATTTAACCCGTAAATAAAATATACTTTTAATAGTAAAATTATGAAAGACATGGCATTACTCAATTCGTACATTTCAATACAGTGGACACCTTGAGTAGCACTTTAACGAATATTCGATGATTTAGCCGAATATTCGACCGAATACGAGTATTCAGTAAAGCTGCCGAATACCGAATATGAAACGAATATTCGGCCAATCCCTATATTAGACACTATGATATGTATATATAAAAATGAATATCCTTACTTAGTAACGTTATTTATGATCAGCTACAATAAAGGTGAAACAAACTAATTATTTATTAAATAAAAATAGTCCGCAAAGGACCATCATAATGTGAGAACAAGAAACATTTAAATAAAACTAGTTCTTACGGATTTAATCGCGCCTATCAATTACTTATTTTACATTCCCGACGATTCGAGCACTTTACAGCACCCATGGTCTCGGGGAGGACTGAGGTGTTCGACGTCCCAATGTCATAGTTGACCAGGGCTACCTTCAGCTTAAAATTATTAAATTTATTATAAAATTAAAACTGGTTTTATTTTTAAACAATAACAGAAGAAATCATAAATATAATGGTTTACTTCCTTCTTCAAAGTATCCGTATTTGTCTTTTCTTTATTACCATCATTACATTCCTTTACAATAAGCTTCTTTACTATAAGTTAAAAATAAGCTAATTATCAAAATTTAAGTTGCTTACGTCGGTTTGTTACTGCCGCCCGTAATTAGGCCGAGCCTGTATCGCAGACGTCAGTTTCTTCCTTAATATCACTAAATTTAGCTTAATCTAATATTTATATTCTTAACTGTTAGAGTAATTACATACATACGTATTCTCTGAGATTTAACTGAAAAACACAATACTAATAACGACATTAGAAAGTTGGTTTTATTCTAAAGTTAACATTGATATTCAATTGTCTTTACTGAACACGTCTATAGGTTTATTTCTTATTAAGAACAAACAAAACGTTATCATTGTAAACAAAGTGGGTAATTTGTTTTTATCGCTTGACCCTCGTACCAGATAGTTTCGTGGGCTCATCTAAAAGTGAATGCATTTTATTAGTAGTTACGGTTCGCTCGGGTACAGTTAATTAACGTTATAAAGCAAAAATGTAATCGTAATGTTGTGAACAAAGAAAGAATTAAAAACTTTTTAAATTTAATATTATTTATGCCTAGTCTGTGGTATGACGTCTGTCTTATGTAATTACATACCAGAAATGTTTAGTGTAGTTGGTTTAGTTAGCCAATTTTTTAATCAGGAAACGGTTTTCGCAATCGAATTGTGTTAAAGTTACTCCAATGGATCGGTAGTTACGTTTTATAGCCGAAGCAAGATTGTTCCGTATTTCGTATCATTCATCTTTACTTAAATTCAAAATGTCTTTTGTGATTGGTGCGCAATTCGAGATGGCTTTCCAAAAGTATTGGAGAAGAATGGACGGATATGTAATACTAGGTAATTACATAATTTTATTTATGATGCCCATGTTCAGTAGTAGATTTTATTGGCTGTAGTAGATATGTAAGTGTAATTTCCAATTACCACATCCTAGATTGCCTGGTAGAGGATACCTGTAGCCATTTTTTTGTTATATAAGATCTTTATCAATCATTTTTTGTTAGTACATTTATGTTTGGCGTGCAAAAAAGTGTTAACTATCTATCTATCTATATTAGTAGAAAAAATGTCAAACTAAAAGATATTAAATTATTAAGCGCGGCCTAAGAAAATCAATACCTATATTATCCAGAGGGTGTCGGGGAACATGAAACAGGATATGGGCTGCAGCACCTTAGTGATAACTACTCAAGATAATAAAAACTGTGGTTGCCAACCAGCCTGCCAAAGGAGATGTTTGATTTTGGGCTACCACTATGTACACTACATAGATAAATAGGAAAAAAATTGAGTAATTTCATAAAAATACTTACAAATTAATTTGAAGAAGGGTACAGGCGTACAAAATGATCATTTGAAAAGTTTTTTTATAGGATAACCCTATTTCGAGGGCAGCCATGACAGTTGTGTTTTATGACGTTTGACGACTTTGACAGTTTTAAGAAGTGACGTCTTTGAGTATTGCTTTGCTTTGGGTTTGAATTGGATGTGTTTCGGAGTTTTTAGTGATTGTTTTTGTTTTACGACCCAGTTTACTATTACGGACATTGATTTGATTGCTTCTCTGTTGACCCCGGCTTTGTTATATGGTTTCTGATTCGCCTGTGATTTGGATTCCGTCGTGTTATTTTACAATAACAAGTTCAGTTTCAGGTATGTCCGCTACCCGTGCATTTACTTGTTTTGTTCAAATGCTATTTCTATGTGATGATTTCTTCCTTTGTTCCATATTCTAATAGATTTTAACTCATACTTATTTCAGTTTATTGACAATGGCATGCCTCCAGTGCACTTCTGTAATAGATGAAAATGAACAATATTATGCTACCGATGATATGGGTCCTGAAATAATTTCGGTCATCGAGCGGTATCTTGGCCATCTGGTAAAAAACATTTTATTTATCTATTTACTGTAACATATATTTAAACACTCTATAACCTCTTTTTTTGTTTTGTTTTGTTTTAGGTTGATGGAAATGAAGTGATGTGCTCACAATGCTTTGGCATCATAATGCAAGAGGTATCTAATGGTCTGGCACATGGAGATCACGAACTCCAACATTGCCATGATAGCAATGTTTGTGTTAGGTGTAGGACATCTTTGTTTAAGAGGCGTGCACACTCTATTCCCGAGGGTGCCGAAAGGCAATATATTGCTGAAACAATTGCTCCAAGAGAGGTAAGCACCTCTTTTGTTTTCTTTTTATTCATACAGGCAGTCAAATGCAGATGTTCCTTAATTATGGTCTAAGACAATATTATTGCAGGAAGAAACAGAACAGTCACAATTTAATTTTTTGGAAATGTGTGTAGATATGTAACTTATAACATCACCTTGGTTGAGTCTGTGAAGGTGATGTTAAAATAACTAAATCTTGATTTATTAAAATGATTTAGAAATGTTGTGATTTAAATTATTTAGAAATGTTTTGATTTAAATTAATAAATATTAATTTCATATTTTTTGTTTTAGATACCCGAGGGTGGTTTAATATGTTTTGCTTGTTGGGTACATACTCGGCGTACAATACAACAACAAGGAATCATAGCAGCTCCTGCTGTTATGAATATGAATGCATGTGTATGGTGCCGACGGTCTCTTGCCCAAACACGCAGCCACTCCATACCTGAAGGACCTGAACGGACCATAATAACACAAACGATATATCCAAGAGAGGTAACATTAACAACTTACTTAATTACCTACTGTTGGAATTAAATAATTGGGTTAATAGTCAATACATATTGTTTTCTTTTGTTTAATTCAGATTCCACCAGGAGGACTGGTTTGCTATGCTTGTTGGGTAGCAGCACGTAGAAATGTGGAGCATGCTACAAGGGTTGAGGATAACCGGCAAGGCCCATCTAATCTTCACCAAGACTCTATGTGTGCATGGTGTAGAATGTCGCTACACCGAAGGCGAACACATGTGGCTAGTGGTCCTGTGAGAGATGAAGTTGCAGCAAGAATTTACCCCAATGAGGTAAAATTATTTTAATTTACTAAACCACCATACACAAGTAATGTAACTTTGCATTTAACTGTAAGTAACCCTTTCTGTTGCTCCTGTAAGTAAATTGTTTCTTGTATTGTTTCAGTTACCAGAACATGCGCTACTTTGTTCCAACTGCTGGACACGTGCACACGAAAATATAGAAATGGAGCAAGAAGTTGTGCAATTTGATATCCAGCCACCAAGTGCATCAATAACACTTGATGGTTTTACACACACAACACAGACAAGTACTCATTGTTTTGTGCCGGCCTGTAACAATGTAGAACGAAATAGAGTGCCGGAATACTTAAGAAGAATTATATTAAAATCGGAAAAAATATTTGTGACAGAAAATGCAAGAGTATGTAATGAACATAAATGTTTATACAACTGGGAGTTTCTGGACCAGCATCAGTTCTCAAATACATTTACAAAAAATGAAATAGAGTCAATGCTGAAGCTGAGTATCCAGGACAATGAAATAAATCAACTAGATTTTAATAATATGAGTAGTATTGATGAGGGACTCTTTAAGTTCTGGACTGGAATTACAAAAGACAATTTTATAAATATTTTAAATGTAATAAGCCCAGCATTGACTTGCAAAAACCAAAAAATTGCTTTGGGAATCTATTTGGTGAAAGCTCGTACAGGGGACTCCCATGAAAGGATTGCCTCTCTGTTTCATCTGACCAAGTCCTCAATAACACGATTGCTTAGAGTAGCTAAAGAGGCATTGCTAAGGTTATTTGTGCCTCTCCACTTAGGAATCAATCATACAAGAAATGATTTAATAAATAGGAATTTATTAATACCCGAGGGTTTGTTTGGAAACAGAGAGGCAAGAGTACCAATAATAATATTTGATGGTACCTATATATACCTTCAAAAATCATCCAACTATATGTTCCAAAAAAAAACTTATAGCTTGCACAAATATAGAAACCTTGTTAAACCTTTTCTCATTGTTGCCACTGATGGTTATATTATTGATATTTTGGGGCCCTATCCAGCAACCAAATCAGATGCTGACATCATGAAAGCTTTGTTCCAAAATGAAAATGAGGGTCTAAGGGCTTTTTTTCAGCCCAATGATGTTTTCATTTTGGATCGAGGCTTTCGTGATTCCATTCCAATGCTAGAGGGGTTGGGCTTCAAAGTATTTAAACCGGAGTCATTAGAACAAGGAGAGACTCAGTTATCAACCATCAGTGCAAACAAGACAAGATGTGTGACACTATGCAGATGGGTGGTAGAAGTAGTTAATGGCCGATTTAAAAGAGACTTTAAGCTATTGAGACACGAATATTTTAATTTGGCTGCCACCCATTTGATGGACGATGTTCGTATTTGTGCAGCTATAATTAATGCATTCCATCCAGTGATTGAAAATAGACCAGATGCTGATGCTATACTTACTCGAGCAATACAGAGAAAAAATATGCCCAACCGGTTAGCAGAACTTATAATTGCTAACCGGATCAACCTGCTTTAGAGCCCAATTCACAAGAATTGATGGTCAACTTCCAGAGTTAAGTATTTTCCCTGAAATGACTATGTCTGACTTGATACTTTTTGGGCTGGGTACCTATCAAATAAAACAGGCTAGAAGCTATTTCGGGGAACATATTAGGCAGCATGGATCATTTCAGGTAGAAGTATCTGACCAACTGGAAGTAGTAGCAGAAGCAACCCCATCCCAACTTGATCCTCTTTTAATCAGAGGCCGTATAAAATCTCGACATAGCTCAGGACGAACATATTATACATATATTTTGCTGTCAAAGGAAGGATCAAGTTGGGATGATAAAATAATTAGCTATTATTGTAGTTGTATCTCCGGACAACGAACAGTGGGTTGCTGTGCTCACATTATGACCATTGTGTGGTATTTGGGTTGGGCTCGGTACCAAGAGAGCATAGAAGCACCGGCGTCATTCCTGGATGGAATATTAATAATGGATGATGTAGAAAATTAATAAAATTAAAAGTCTCAACAAGTTGTTTTATTTGTATACCTCATGACTTATTTCTCATGCTATTAATGTCTCTAATACTAGGAATCATATAACATAGAACTTGTTTGAAAAATTGTTAGTGTTTAATTGGGCACTGGGCCCGCATGTTGGATTACAGTCCACTCTCACAGAAAGTAGTTATATGTCTCAGCGGTAGAAACATTATAGGCTGATTATGCTGCTGCTACCTAATTGGATAAGAATAGTTGATTTCTTCCCATCTGTTACTGTGTAATAGGTATAGTTATCTACTTTAACTATAACTTGCAGTCATCAGGTACTGTACAGCTAACTGCTCTCCTATGAATTATTGAAGTACAGAGTATATTTATAGGCACTAAAGTAAAAAACTAAACGAAGCAGCAGGAAAGTGTTGTAAATAAAATAACGTTCAAGCCTTTGTTTCGTTTCTTGCTCCTCTTGACACCGATATAACCAATCTGTAACTACTCGAATAGGTGATATAAAATGTGGTGCCGCAATCGAGAAGAATATCCTGTAGTCTTATTTTATCGAAATCCCAGATTTTTTGAAATTCGTGTTGTTTTTTTTTTATTGCAGATATTACGAATTACTATACACGTCAATCAAATGTCACTGTCAATATGACATTTTTCGCGTACTGCTGTTCCGATCCACCTGGATCCACCATGTTTAATTTTATGTTGTGTTGCTCTCCTTGACCAAGTTAATTTGAATGTACAATGAAACGCAGTGAAATTAAAGAAAACTAACAATAAAAAACGGTTACTATATTATACAGCAATATTCACATATAGTGTACATAGTGCTGGCCCAGGCTCCATACATTTATGGAACATCTCCTTTGGCAACTATAGGAAAGTCCCCCCTATTAGGCAGTCTATGTCTACCTATGCTCAATAGTGGACTTTTTATGGGATGTAATGATGATGATGGTGATGATTCACGCTTATATACATATGGTATTAGGTAGTGATTCTTTCTTTTATGCATGTAAGTGTAACAAACGGCTACGCTCTACAGTTCAGCTAATGGACATAAAGAACGCGGGTATGAAATCAAATTGAATGAATATATTTGCAATAACTGATATAAACATAATCATAAATTTTCCTTATTATAAAGTTACAGCCTATATACTTCCCACTGCTGGGCACAGGCCTCCTCTCATTTCTGAGAAGGTTTTTAGGGCAAGGAAGTGTCCGCCGCCCTGCCCCAATGTGTATTGGCGAACTTCACATGTTTTCGAAATATTTTTTTCTCAGACATGCAGGTTTCCTCGCGATGTTTCCCTTCACCGCCGAGCACTTAAAATTGTAATTAATAATTTCATTGGTGCCGGCGGGAATCGAAGGGTCGAAGGAGCAGAGTTACCACGACTCTTATTACCTGTCCTTATAATAATTTTCGGTAATTATATGTTCCATAAGACTCTTTATTACCTGTGTTAATTTTATGTCCATAATTGTAGTAATTTTTAATTCAAATTTAGTCTAACAAACAGACACAAGCTCCGACAGAATGTTGGTTAGTATTGCAACATTTCTACCGCTGCAGCGTATTGTGGTCGCAGTATGAATGGGTCGGCACTACTGGAGAAGGACCACGCTTTCACTGAATACCAGCGTGAAAGAGCAGTGTTTTGTGTGGTGAGTGACGAGTACTGGATACCCTTTTGCGTAGTAGCGAGGTATTCCATTGAGTCCTCTGGGATGACAGTGCTTTTTAAATTTAATTCTTAATTGAGGATCTATTAAGGTTCCTAAGGTCCTCATCATCCACTTCCCGTCAGATGGACTGTGTGCTCGTTTGGCGTTTTTATTTCTATAAAAACCGGACAAGTACAAGTACACACTGAGGGTTTTTATATAGATAGGGTGACAAACGAGCACACAGTCCACCTGATAGTAACTGGTTGCTGTGGCCCATACCACTGTACCTTATCCTATCCTCAAATACGGATCAAAATGCAGATACGACCGGGGAAGGACCACGATTTCACAAAATACCAGCGTAAAATAGCAGCTTAACCCTGCTGTGTTTCGTATGGTGAGTGTAGAGAACCAGACTCTTTTTACTTGAAACTAAGCATTCCATTTTAGTCCTTACGGGTGACCACGAATCTGGATTTTGATTTGTAGTCGAGGATAAATGTAGATGTCTATGGGCCACAGTAACTACTGACCATCAGGTGGACTGTGTACTTGTTTGTCACTCTTACCCTAAAAAAAATATTTCTTCGTAATAGCTTCTTATGACGGGAACTTAATTTTTCTACACACCGTGTCATATCACTGACTTCTGAAATCAAATAATTATAATAACAAAAAGTCAAATTCGAAATATTTTTATACAAAATTGGCCTTCGCAAATCACCTTTGGAAAGTTAAAAAAACTTTATTATAAAAAACATCTGAAACTGTTCAGCGGAAATTATGTGACTTTTCTTTCAGGACGCCTTTTGGGTGTTATCAAAGTATGTTAATTAAGTAGATTCATCAAAAGTCAATTGAAATACTTTTTATGAGCTGTCAAAAAAAAGTATTTCTACGGAAATTTTATGAAAATATCCAGTGAAAATGACTTCACAGTTTAATTGTTATCTCTTGTAATATTTTCTGTAGACATGGAAATAAAATAGAAGTGTCCTGAACGTTATATTGAAATAACTGGTTTCCATTAAACCTAGGGGGCTATTTGTATGATATTAACATGTATAATCCCTTTAAAAATATTTGTCTGTCTGTATGTCTATCTGTCTGAGCTAATCTCCGGGATGGCTGCACCAATTGTAATATATAAAAGGATATGCAAACGATACATCCCCAACATATACGTATTATACGTGGTAAAGCCACGCTGCAGCTATATTGTTATGGTTGTAGCACGAATGGGTCGGCTCGACCGGGGAAGGACCACGCTCTCACAGAATACCAGCGTAAAAGAGCAGCTTAATATTGCTGTGTTTCGTACGGTGAGTGTAGAGATCCTCAGTCAGAGTCAGAGTCAGATAAATGTTGATGTCTATGGGCCACAGCATGTAATTACAATCTGGTGGACTGTGTGCTCGTTTGTTATCCTTATTCTATAATAAAAAAAGATAAAGATCAATATCTGAAGTGATCTATGCTAAAATTTATAGAAAATCTTGAACAATAAAAAATTTAAAGAAAGGCCAAATTAGTAGATCTCAAACCGACGAAGCCGAGTCGGTAAAAACACAATAAAAAAAATGATTGTTAGGTCCGCCACATATGTATATACGGAATTCCGTTTCGTGATTCCATTCCGGAATTCCAATTTGGGTAATAATCTTTATTTGCGCAAAACATTGTATAAATGTTGTTAACATGTAAGAACGAGCCCTCATGTTTTGCTTATTTTACATAGCATGCAAATGTTTTTCAACAATGTCAAATATTTCCTTAGATATTTGAAACACAATTAGTCGCGTGATTTAGGTAAAAATAAAATATAGAGAAATATTTTAATAATAAGTTAATTCTGAGCATCGTCAATTTAAATACCTAGTAAAAATTCGCTTAACTTAATTAAAGATATATTGTAACTATATTATAACAATAATTAAATGAAAATTTAATTATTGTTATAATATATAATATATTAATCAATATTATCCGATATATAATCAAATTTTACCTATAAAATAATTGTTTTACGCTATAGAAATTATTTTCATTGAGCCATTTGTACAATTTCTTTTTCAAAAGTGTAATGTTTAGGGTTTTAAGTTCTTTAGGGAGTTTGTTGTATATTTGGACACACACGGTAAGGTAACTTTTGCCATATTTTTGTGATTT